TTAACATGATTTAAACCAGTTAACTCCAATTAAGGTCAAATCATCTATCTGAACATCTTCTGTAGATACCACAGCCGTAGGTCGTCAGGAACATGAGATGTCATTTAAATGTTTTATCCTACTTAATCTATGACCTTGAATGTAAGTCATTTGTGACCTGGTTCACTTGCTTCTTGAATGCAGGTCAAAGTCATTTATTTAAAAAAAAAAAAAAAACATTTTCGTTGAAAAGTATAGCTGATTGTAGTTACGGTAAACAGGAATTCCACGAGAGTGGAGGTGTCGTCTGCTCAGCGCTTTTAGTAAGAAAAGTGTTTTGACTTGAGTTATAGCATAAACAGATATGCCAACACACAAGAGAGTTGAAACTCGATAGAAAAACCCACAATATATGTTGGAACATTATTGCTTCTAGCATTACCATACAAAATTTGAAAGGAATTGATTTAAAACACAAAACAAGAGGCCCATGGGCCTTAACGGTCACCCGAGTCCTACAGTATTTATTTCTGTTGCTGAAAATATGTACCAATTTCAGTAAAAAATAATTAAGTATAACGTTAACTTAAGATAGTCAGGACCATGAGCTGATCATTCCTAGACTGAGTTTCAGTTAAATCGGCCTATTAGAACTTGTTTTTAAGTTTGCAATAGTTATTTTCAAAATAGAGGCCGTGGCAGCCAAGTTGGATTTCTGATTGACTCAAAAAATAACAACACTTTGTCAGGACCATGAGTCAATCATTCCTATCAAGTTTCAGTTCAATCGGCCCAGTAGAACTTGACTTTAAGTTTGAAATAGTTTTTCAAAATGGCGGCCGTGGTGGCCATGTTGGATTTCTGATTGACCCAAAAGATAACATCACTTTGTCAGGATCATGAGTCAATCATTCCTATCAAGTTTCAGTTCAATCGGCCCAGTAGAACTTGACTTTAAGTTTGAAATAGTTTTTCAAAATGTCATCCTTGGTGGCCATATTGGATTTCTGATTGACCCGAAAAATAACAACAACACTTTGTCAGGACCATGAGTCGATCAATCCTACAATTCAGTTCAATCGACCTAGCAGAACTTGACTTTAAGTTTGAAATAGTTTTTCAAAATGGCGGCCATGGCGGCCATATTGGATTTCTGATCGACCCGAAAAGTAACAACACTTGGTCAGGACCATGAGTCAATCATTCCTACAAAGTTTCAGTTCAATCGACCTAGCAGAATTTGACTTTAAGTTTGAAATACGCAATCATTTATATAGTATCATTCACAAACACCCGGATAAACCGGTGGCGGGACATTTTACCTCTCCCGATCATAACATACATAACGTCATAGTTATGGGTATTGTACAAGACGTCACGGATATTAACCGTCATCTCAGAACAGAGGAGAGTTGGATTCGCATGCTACTGACAACACAACCAGAAGGTCTTAACATCATAGCTTGATGGCCAACACAAAAAAGACAACCCGCCGCAAAACCTAATACAACTGGCAGAAAAATAAGACTACCGTGCATCAGATGCGGGAAGACATACGCTAGTCTTAGGAACCTACGGAGACATGCAGACGTAGTGCATGGTCTCATACAAACCATTGTACAAATGTAAACTCTGCAAATGAACATATGGGAGGGATGAAACTATAAAAAACACCTTAAGGACAAACATCCAGGATACTTCGTAGAACCGGAGACGTTTGAAGATCATACCAGAGAACAGGCAACCAAACCGGATAATAAACGCCCATTTGAGGCGCTTACTAAAAAACAGTTAGATCAGGTAAAATTTAGGATAAAACTAGAACACTGACAGGTCAGTAAGGGCCCCGTCTTGTGGCAATATACCCCCCATTATCATCAAGAAGCAATCTGCCCATATAGCTGAGCTTGACATTTGACATTTGGACTTCAAAAAGAATCGCAAGGAAGCAAAATATACATTTTACATGTACTATGATGTTAGTCTTGTTTTCTTCCACCTCCATATTTGCTGGGCTGACAGAAATGTAAATACCGGTGCAATACTCATTTGTTAGCTTTGATTTGTTTTGTTTCACCTTTTATACCTCCTACATCAAGATCCAGGGTAAAAGTCAGAGATCCACTTTGTCTTTGACCTTTGGACGCAAATGACCTTGACCATTAAGCTAGTGACCCTGAACTTTGGTCAGTTGACTTATTCTTTAATTCCGACCAACTTTGCTTCTTGATATCATAACAAAATGTTCATCAGGGAAAAGGTACAAAATTTAACCTTGACCTTTGACCCAATGTCCTTGACCTTTGGTCAGTTGACTCCTTGTTCAAATCTGATCAACTTTGCTTCATCATGTCATAACAAAATGTTTATCAGTGAAAAGATGCAAATTTGACCTTGACCTTTGAATCTAATGACCTTGACCTTTGACCTTGATTTTTTACCTCAGTGTGTTTCTTTGTTTTATTCTGAACAACTTTGCTTCATAATGTCATAGCGAAATGTTCACCAGTGAAAAGCTACAAAATTTGACCTTGACCCCTGACCTGATGACCTTGACCCTTGGTCAGTTGATTCCTTGTTTAATTCTGATCAACTTTGCTTCATCATGTCATAACAAAATGTTCATCAGTGAAAAGATGTAAAATTTGACCTTGAGCTTTGAACCTAATGACCTTGACCTTTGACCTTGATTTTTTACCTCAATCTGTATTTTTGTGAACTGAACATCTTGACCAAGTTTCATGTACATCGGTCAATAAATACCAAAGTTATCAGCCAGGAACAGAATTTGTGGACAGACAGACAGACAGTCAGACAGACAGACAGAGTGATTACTATAGGGCACCCGTATCTCCAATACGGGGCCCTAACAAGGACAAGGGATGAGCACAGTAGGACCAACTTGCAAACAGTTCAGGCCAGTACTGGATGAGACTCTAGAGGCGCTCAAGGCGGACCTAGAACTATCGGACAGTGAAGACACAGCATCCACACCTAACACATCAGAAGGAGACAACGCACTCGTAAACTACAGGACTTTGGGATATGTCAGGATGAACATTATAATATATGTTAATAATATTTAGGGATAAAAGAATCTTGCAATTATGTCAAATTTTATACACACATATATAAACAAATATATATATATAGATTTAGAAATAGTCAATGAATTGTATGTACCTAATAGTATTTCAGAAACTGATACTATAGACTAGATAATGCTCATTTATTAATAATAACCGCGATGGAACTTTCTAGAACATTATAAATAGGTAACATCACGTGACGTTACCTGTATTACGTTACAATATCCAATATAAATGTGCCCAGATTTTTAGTACTTCAGGGGACACATTCTGTTATGAAATCGTCCTGAAGAAGCCCACTGTTCGGGCGAAACCGGTAGACATACCTAATAAAGAAGAATCAACTTATCCTGAGCTTGTTGCGATTGACACCTATTCTTATGAGCTATACAATATGCATGCATTCCCACCTATAAATAATTGATGAATTTATTGTGTAAAGTGCACACTCTTTTAGGGGAAAATGATAACAATAAGGAAGGGGTGCACACTATACACGGAAACAACCCAAAACCAGTCCCTGGGGGCAACCAAACATTTTGAAAATACTCCCAGGAATTGACTCATAAAATTTTGTATAATAATTCATGATTGAATAAGCTATTTAACCATTACAAAAGGTATAATTTAAAGTCCTTGTTTCACAATAACGTCAGATAAATAAACTACTGATGTACTACAATAGGACAAACTCACGGTGTCACATCCTCCATATACAAAAACATTAGTCCTCCTTTGCTGAAAGATGCTCCAGAACAAATTTGGTCAAAATCAACTGAGCTTAATTATTTATTAAGGACTAGTAGCGTTTTAAAGAAAAGTTGACTGATGATAAGACATGGGATGCTGAATCATGGCATACACTCACAGGTTTTTTGGACCAGGTGAGCTTAAAAGTTTGTGATTCTTACACAATTAGTTATTAGAGGTGCTGTAAATGAGAGATAATTTCTCATTAGCGCCTGGAGTATTTTTACACAAAAAAATTGAGAAAGAACCCCTCTGTACATAATTCTTAGGAAATAAAGTCTGCCATTTTGTTTTTCCAATCAGTGTCAAAAGTAAACAAGCACAACTATAGGCCAAGGGAAACCTTCATATTTAATTGGAGACAGATCTCTCCAGTTTTTGTAGGAAATAAAAAAAAAAAAAATTAACTATCAAAATCCAAGAAAGCTGCTGGTCAACCATTTCGTTTTTTCTATCACCTTTAAAAGTAAACATGCACAACTGCATGGAGACCAACGGGGACTTTAATAGTAAATTTGAGAAGGATCCGTCCATTACCTTCGTAGAAAAAGTAAAAAAAATAAACCTTACCTACCAAAATCAAATATGGCCACTGGTCGGTCATTTTGTCTATCGGATCAGTCTCAAAAGTGATTAAGCCCAACAAGGTCCCAAGGGAACTTTATCACTATTGAGAAAGATCCGTCCAGTCTTCTCTGAGAAATAGCAATATCTGAAGTCTTCTCTGAATTGTTAGCCCAAACAGATCAAGTGTTCCCTGAGTTAGTAAGGCCAAATAAGATCAAGTCTTCCCGAGTTGTAAGGTCAAATCTGATCAAGTCTTCCTTGAGCTCAAAAGCCAAATCTGATCAAGTTTTTTCTGAGCTCGAAAGACAAATCTGATCAAGTCTTCCCTGAGCTCAAAAGCCAAATCTGATCAAGTCTTCCCTGCGTTGTAAGGCAAAACTCATCAAACAGGGTACCACAGCTCTATCATGAGATGTATGGCATGTTTATGATTTACTTAAACAGCTGAATAGGACCATCATGATCAGTTGATAGGACATGGCAAGTTAATGATCCCAGAAGTAGATTTATAACATTGATCATATATAGCTGTGACATTGACAGAGTTGTGAAACAAGTGAATGAACGGCTACTGTAATAATTGTATTAATATTTTGAAGATTAAAGAGTTCTTACCTGTTCACTGTAATCGTCAGGTAAAAACACATCATCATATGCTTCATCTCCATCATTTTCAAATTCCCCCATATCATCGTCTGGATAATCTTCACCTCCACCAGCCTCCAGAGACAGTGTGACCTGCTTTTTGCCCTTGGGAGGCGTCATGAAGGATAGGGGTTTGTCTCCACACCCGAGGGCATCATCAGCCCCGGGGAGCCCTGTCTTATCCTCCATGACACAGCTGTCCTTCCCAGTACAGATTTTCATGACTCCTGTGGAACATACATTGTATATGGTACAAACACATGTAAACATGACAAAGGCTCCATTGTTTGAGATTCCGTACTACATACATATTTATTACCAGGAGCAAAGACAGTAAGAACAGAAAAGTAATGATTAAAAAGACCTGTCAGTTTACATTCAGACTAGATTTCCCCAAGGTGTTGACCAAGACTCTTCCACAAAAAGTTCCACTGGAAATTGAATACAAGATCTACTAGTACAGTAGTATGATATTGTGCACCCAATGGTAACATAAACAACATTTCGCACTCCTGATGGTATAATGAAGCCCTCTTCAAAAACTTAAAAAATATGCCTAAATATTTTGTTTCTTTGCATGAAAAGGACTAAAATGATGTACGGAGTAGTAGAGATTAGGAATAGGGTTCAATCATCTGTGGCCAAGGAAAACTGAAGCCTTCATTCATTTTTTGGGGGGGAATTTTTTCGACAAACCTATTGTTTATGTAAACTGATATACAGGATTCTTTGTTTATTGGGTAGGGACGTTTAGGTGTCTAATCTGACAGGCAGAACAGCACACCATTATGTAAAGCATTCAAGTTTTTATAAATTTTTCCAACTACATCATTTTTTTATTTTTTTATCACCATCTGCCAATGTTGTAGCATATGTTCAATGCATTTTTCCTGAGAAGAAAATCAGAATTGGGCAGGGTTTTTAAAATGTACTTGTCTTAGTAAGTCATCACGGCCACGTGAAAATTGGCTTGGAGAAATAGATCTTTCGGTGTTAGTCATCTGTCGGACAAGTCCTTTTTACTGCTGATATCATAACTTAATTTTACATAAAATAAACTCATTAAAAATATGTGGAAAATCCAGACAGTCTGTCTTTAAAAATATCCTGAAAACAAACACACAAAATTGCGCAAATTACACACATTTTTATGGTAGTACAAACTTTGAATCTCGACTCAATCCAATCTTCATGAGTGAATTGATAATGTAAAAGAGTGAATTTTTTAGGCCCCTATTTTTGTGCCTAGTGGTTTGAACAATTTTCCATAACCCCGGATTGAGATAGGAATTTTTAATTATTATGCAAAATCGCAGCAATGAAATGATGGTCCTTTGACATACAGAATGACGTGTATCTAATTTATAATCCTAAATCCTCATATAAGTTTTCATACAGAATTATGTGTATCTAATTTATCATCCTAAATCCTAAAATAAGTTTTCATACAGAATTCCGTGTATCTATCTAATTTATCATCCTTAATACTCAAATAAGTTTTCATACAGAATTACATGTATCTATCTAATTTATCATCCTAAAACCTCATATAAGTTTTCATACAGAGTTATGGGTATCTAATTTATCATCCTTAATACTTAAATAAGTTGTCATACAGAAGTACAGGTATCTAATTTATCATCCTAAAACCTCATATAAGTTTTCATACAGAGTTATGGGTATCTAATTTATCATCCTAAAACCTCATATAAGTTTTCATACAGAATTCCGTGTATCTATCTAATTTATCATCCTTAATACTCAAATAAGTTTTCATACAGAATTACGTGTATCTAATTTATCATCCTTAATCCTCAAATAAGTTTTCATACAGAATTACATGAATCTAATTTATCATCCTAAATCCTCTAATAAGTTTTCATACAGAATTACATGTATCTATCTAATTTATCATCCTTAATCCTTAAATAAGTTGTCATACAGAAGTACAGGTATCTAATTTATCATCCTAAATCCTCTAATAAGTTTTCATACAGAATTACGTGTATCTAATTTATCATCCTAAATCCTCATATAGGTTTTCATACAGAATTACGTGTATCTAATTTATCATCCTAAATCCTCTAATAAGTTTTCATACAGAATTATGTGTATCTAATTTATCATCCTAAATCCTCTAATAAGTTTTCATACAGAATTATGGGTATCTAATTTATCATCCTAAATCCTCATATAAGTTTTCATACAGAATTATGGGTATCTAATTTATCATCCTAAATCCTCATATAAGTTTTCATACAGAATTACGGGTATCTAATTTATCATCCTAAATCCTCATATAAGTTTTCATACAGAATTACGTGTATCTAATTTATCATCCTTAACCTTAAATAAGTTTTCATACAGAATTATGTGTATCTAATTTATCATCCTAAATCCTCAAATAAGTTTTCATACAGAATTACGTGTATCTAATTTATCATCCTTAATCCTTAAATAAGTTTTCATACATAATTATTTGTATCTAATTTATCATCCTAAATCCTCATATAAGTTTTCATACAGAATTACGGGTATCCAATTTATCATCCTAAATCCTCAAATAATTTTTGCCTGAAAATGCACAGTATGTTAACCAGCTTAAAGGTCAAATCTGACATTCCCCCTAAGTCCATGACAAGGAATATATTTTACTTACAAAAAATACAACACATTTTACTATACCTAAATCCTGTGAATCCGGGAGCATTTCGGTTTTCCTAATATCAGAATCTAAAAAAATTCAATATGTCTGCAGAAAGTTCATATATTTATATATACATCCACTGGACACAAAACACTTATTAAGATCCAATATTTATCATCCTCCTTCAGTGTAAATCACAGGTCCTGAACTCCGTATCATAAGCAAGAATTGGTTATTTTGTCTATGTGTACAATCCCCCTGGGCTGCTGATGGGTCGAAAGCCATTATTGTCGACCCCAGTAAAGTTGAACTCTTCTGCGAACTGTGCAAGTTTGGCAATCGATAAATGAGAACATGAAAAAACGATTCTACTGGACCAAACAAATCTTCTCAATACTGGTTGGTTAAGGGTTCCTTATCAGAAATCTTATTGATTTTCAGATGAAACGATCCTCAGCAGTTAGAGTAAGGCATTACAATTATTGATATATCACCTCCGTATAGGTTTTTTGCCCTACCTGCAATTGCGGTCAATATCAGATTGTATAATGACTCGTAAATACCATTCCCTCCAGCTATTACAGTAAAAATTAAGCATGAATCATTAACATGTTCTGATAAATATTAGTAGGGTTTTGTACCAACAATTTCCGTGAAAAAAAGTGGTGCCATTAATGAGATTAAATGTTTTTTGAACTCCTGTCATTAGTGTATGTTTCCTACACCATTAGTCAGCAGCATTCTGTACGCTGGCCTACCTCTCGGTTTTGAAGGTTGGTGTAGATACCGTTATCAGTTACAATGTCGTACAATACAGCTGTTTTGTTAAGTATTCTGCAATCAATATTTTTTGTGTACATCATTGCAGAATTTATATGACAAGGAAATATGGTAGGAAAAAACAATTTACACAGCGACATTAACCTATATTCTCAAACAACACTGAATGTTATTGTTGTTCCCATGAGTGACGAAAGCCTAGAGGTATCTATCCTATTGCTTCCCTGTCTCAACATCAACACAGATGCTGACAACTGTTGATAAAGTCACTGACCCATGCATGCCCTGATAAACAGTATCTATGTACTGGTAATATTACTCCTGTATCAGGGTCAATATGTTGAAGACAGGAGACAAGCTATCATGTCCTGGCTGAGGTCACAAGGCCAAGGTCAGATGATTATATAAGCCCGCCATCATGAGCTTAGCTTGTTGATATTATTAACAAGATTCACTTAAAGTTAACATGTTAAGTTATATTCCGTTACATTGCACACACTTTGAGATACAGGTAAAGTCGAATTTGCTCAAGTGACCATCTGTATTAAACATTTATCTGTTTTATGCAACCAATTTTCATTCCTCCCCGACTTTTTTACCAGGTAATTTAACAGTATTAAGCCACCATCTGTCTAACGCGACCAGCGACCACCCAATACGGACCCCAAAGAATATGCGGGACCAGATTATGATAAACGACCACATATGATAAAATTTAGCGACCATTTTTGACAAAATCTTCCAAACAATCGTTTTTGACAAGATATGAAATAGCTGTGTGACTCTAAATTTGGAACTATCACCAAGTTTGAAGAAGGGCTTTTTTAATTAACAATCGTTTCACCAAATTCAGTGAACAAATTTGACAAAATCAATTTCCCAACTGACAACAAATTCACTAATGTGCCGACACCTTAATGTCATTTTTCTAACTGCCAATATTGTTGCATAAGCAGTGAAATATGGACGCCTATAAATCGTAGTTGAGTGGAGCCATTTTGATTGCACAAGAGTCCTGCTAGGCAACATATAGTAACCTTTAAACCTATGATATCCTTCTCCTGATTGGATGAAGTAAACTGGCAGGTTTTCATCCATAAGATCGGGTCTGTTTTGAGATGTTTACGCTAGCAGGCACTCTCTTGGGAAATAAATAATGATTATCAGTGCAAAATATTTATGCTAACACACATAACATTTCTAAATTCTCAACTTCTCAAAGACAAGTACTAATGACAATAATACTGGTCCGTTTTATGGCAATATGCTGTCGGCTTTTAATTTAGGTCAAATTTTAACTGGACTATCTTTCCAGTTTCCGTCTATAATAAACAAATAATACATGTGAACTCATCTGCTGGACCACTGCAGGAAGCACCATCATTCCAACGACACTGTCTTGTGCAATAGCTTAAATCAAGTTTGCTACTGAAAACACTGTTGTGTAGGTTGAGAACTTCAGCAAGTCTCCAGTGATTCTTCTTGAGCACTCTCAATGGTTTGATTACTCACATAATTATCACTTTACTACTGTTCAGTTAATCACCAGGGTCTGTATTCATGAAACCATTCTCATGCTCAAGTTTTTGTGCTCTATGCTAATTTCTTGCTCTGGTTATAAATTAATAAACAAATCTTATTTTGTCAATGATTCGGAAAAACAATTTGAAGAGACTTAAAGCAAAAAAACGTTTTCAATGTGTACGATTTAAGTGAGTTAAAATAAAGTTGGTCTATTGAACAGTGTTGTTTAAAACTACCTAGATACACATGTGTAAATGTGGGCTAGGAGTGGTGGTC